GATGACGCAGAAAAAAAGGAACAGATTTCCATTCAGATTTAGGAATGAATGATTGGTTTGATTGGAAATGATGATTATAGAAGTTGTATGCAGTGGACCAAAAGGTAAGTTTTGGTATGAACTTGCTGCTCATACTACAAAAGGAAGAATGATAAAACTTCTATCCACCTTATTTCCATAGGCCCCATGAAGCCTTGCATGACTTATGGGAACAATTTTCCAGAGTGAACGTGAACAGACGTTAGTTTCTGTGTGACAGTACAAGCTAACACAGTTTTTCTGACCATTGTGGATTTAAAAATGTGGGAACACTGCCGGGCAGAGCTAAAACGGGACAATACGGTTATATGCTGTCTACGGTGGTCAAGGGACGGGAGGACGACCTGAAGAAGTGGCCAGGGTCTTTTCTCAAGTGGTTTGCTGTAATCGAGCTATGGAGCTGGACGCGGGTCGCTTCAGGTCCCGATTTTTCAGCCACATTSTTTTTGATTCCTCATCTGTCGGTAGGCGAGCTATACCGCTTTTTATAGGAACACTAATGTTGTTTTGGTTGCTGTAGCCGCTGATTCAGTTTGGTCTGGTTGTTTGTGTGGCCGCAAACAGCACAACAGGTAAAACAGGTACCTGAACTCTACTAGGAATGGAAAGAAAACAAAAAATATAGTTTGTTCTGGTAATCCGAACATAAATTACTTTCATATAAACTGTGGTCCGTGCTCTGATACATTGGTTAGCCAAAGCCTATACTGCTACTTCCTGGTGTTTGAGTCAGGAAGTTGTGCACCCCCATGAATAAGGTGGATAATACCAAAAAAAGTCCAAATATTCAGCCTGATCCAACAATAATGTTTGCCTCATCAATCAGCCCGTTTCTACCAGAACCCTCTGTCTACAACAAATGAATCCCCTTACAGGTTTTTGCACAAACTACACTCTTCTTTAAGAAAAAAYWGTATAGGTCTTCTGGACGGGTTCTTCTCTAATGAAAACGTTTCGTCCCTCCTCCAAGAGACTTCTTCAGTCTGAGAGTTTCAGGCAAAATTCAGGCTTTTAAGCCCTGCCTCCATGTGACTGATACTCACATCACATGACTGATACACACATCATCGTAAGCCCACCCACACAGACCGATATTTGCGTTTTGACTCCCACCACCCACTGGAACACAAGTTAGGAGTGATCAGGACTCTGTACCACAGAGCAGACAGTGTCCCTACAAACCCAGGAGCCAGGSAGAMAGAGAAATCACACACACGACAGGCCCTGGAGCAGTGTGGTTAACCTGACTGGGCTTTCCTGAAAGCAGACAGGAAACACAGACAGGATTCCATGCAACCTTCAGGTGAAAATGAAGACCCCAAACCCAGACCCAAACCAGTGGTTATTCCGTATGTTACGGGTGTTTCRGAGAAACTGAGACGTTTATTTTCTAAACATGATGTCCCAGTAGCTTTCAAACCCCAAAACACATTACGGCAAAGGCTGGTTCACCCCAAAGATCCGGTGCCCCGGCACAAACAGAGCAATGTTGTATATGCTGTTAAGTGCCAGGAGGACTGCGACCAGTTATACATCGGGGAAACAAAGCAACCACTGTTCAAAAGAATGTCCCAACACAGACGAGCTACATCTAATGGCCAGAACTCTGCATTTTTCACTCATTTACAGGCCAGCGGTCACTCTTTCAGAGATGAGGATGTTCTCATTCTTAATAGAGAGGAACGTTGGTTTGAGAGAGGAGTAAAAGAAGCCATTTTTGTGAAGAAAGAACCGTCCATCATTAAACAGAGGTGGAGGCCTACGCTTTCAGTTGTCCCCCTCCTACAGCGCGGCTATTGCCAGTATCACTCCACCCCCTGTTAACAATAAGTGTTAATTAGGTGTCAACGATAGCCATGTGATGTGAGTATCAGTCACATGAAAGCAGTGCTTAAAAGCCTGAATTTTGCCTGAAACTCTCAGACTGAAGAAGTCTCTTGGAGGAGAGACGAAACGTTTCATTAGAGAAGAACCCGTCCAGAAGACCTACACAATTTTTTTCTTTTTGATTTTTTACCTGGATTACTGAGATGCATCAGGACATACAGTCTTCTTTTATTCCCTGCTGCCATTTACACTTAGCTGTTAACCTCTGCTGAACCAACCGGCTGTCTTCTCTCATTACAGATGAACCGACCTGCTTTCCAACCCCCCYGACTTCGGCAAAAAGAGACCCCTCCTCTCGTCCGGTGTTTCTGTCAGGAACAAGTGGGAAAAGTCGGCCGGGCCTTAGTTGGAGGGACTGTCCGGGCCCGTGTCGTCTTCCTCACGGATGAGCGGAGGGCGGCGTGGCACGGCTGATCGTGATTGGATGTGGCAGAGCAACAGAGGCGCACGCTCAGGCTGCGAACAATTAGAGTGATGTGAGAGCAGCGRGCGAGAAGGGCCGCTCTCACAGCTGTCACCGCCCCCAACACACAAGGGAGACTGTCAGGAGATGGAGATCTGTCAGATCATGTTTCATGACTTACGTTGCCTTCGCTGAATTATAGATTTGAGTCGTGAGCGTCTGAAGGTGGAAGTGACGYAAAGAGCTGAGGCTGGGTGAGCAGCCCTTGCAAACGTTCCAACAGAAAAGACCAAAAGGCAACTTAAAACTGACTCAGTTTTTCAAAAACTATACGACTGCTAAATAAATTGTTAGTTCAGCGAATATGATTCCACACTCTGGTGTTTACAAAACAGAGGAAAAGCCAGACTGGAAAATAGATGGTAGGTTTTACTTCTGCCTTCAGTCAGCTGTCGCTTGTAAAAGTAGCTATTACTTTACCATACARGGTCTGCTTGAAAACACTGTTTCGATGCTAAATGTAACAAAGAAGCTCAGGTTTTTTTTCTTCCTCTTTTCAAAAGACTTCCTAAAAAAACTATCAGCAGTGAAGTTCCCATAAACTTTAACGATGGTCCAACAAGGTGAAAAGGAGTCACTGAAGGTAAATTACAAGCCTGACGTTTTGTGTGCAACTGTTTGAAGTTTCGCACTGACGTGAACGCCACATCCACACAACCGCTTCAACCCTGAGCCAGAAGGAAGATGATGTCATTAACAGGGTTCATTTCCCCMTCTAATTAGAAACTCGAGCTTCCCGCCATAACTTGGGGGTCTTTACGTGTAGCCATGCGACAAAAAAGAGGGGGGTGTTTGAAAAAGACAAATGTTTGATTTTTCTCCTTTAAAAAAAAACAAACAGGGCTGTTCTCTTCAGGAAACCGAAGCCACTTCTCCAGCGTTGTTGCGGTGGGACTGAGCTTTAAGGTGATAAGAAACACTGCGGACCAAAACCATAAACCATCTGGCGGTTTCCGCTCGGCCTCTGCTGCTGACACCGAAGTGCCTCGAGGCAATCAGAGGTTGCTCTTGCGCAACCTCACTCGTGAAGTAAAAATAAACAGAGGAGGGATGACTAATAATTAAGTCAAAGAGGAAAAGATTTTCCCTTTATTCATTACCTGAACCGGACCGAGAAGATGAGCTTAGTGTGCGAAGGGTAAGTAAACGTAAACTATGCAGCCACACAAAACAGCGGTGAAGTCAACAAGCTTCTGCAGGCGTTCTGGAGCGCTGGTGCTGTGAGCCGAACAGAAAGGCAGATAACATTTTCTGTAGCATGATTATGATGTTAGAGCTGCTGTCAACACCTCAAACAGACAAGAAGCTGTAAATCCCCCCCGCTTGGATTTTTTGGCTGCCTCAAACCCACGACTGGATAGAAAACGAGGACGCTCCCACCTGAATCCGGTTATAGGGAGGACTGTTTATGACTACTCCATGCTGTAATTTAGCAGGTGGCTTTAAAGTCTTCTGTGCTCACGATATGCCCAATTTAAAACATGTCAGATTCATGTGATTCAAACAAATGTTAGCATAAGAAAAGGCCAAGATTAAAAAAGGAGCCTGAAAAGCTGCAAGGCTGAGAAATTTGTCTTTGAAGCCGTCGCTGAAGACCTTAAAGCTGTCAGAAAGTGGGCTCCGAAGCGGCCGCTCAGTGCAGACCGACTGTTTTCTCGATTTTTGTCCTCGTACAGCGAAAATATTTCTTCTGGGAGCAAAAAGCATAAAGCTTATAATCTGCATAAAACAGAGGGAGTCAAAGCTGGCTGCTCATCTATAGGTGGAGGTATTTAGAAGACATGTGTGGTCTGTTTAGTCTGGGTGCTAAGTTGTTTATGCTCCTGACCTCCTGCTGATCAAACCAACTCTTGATGCTTGTGAAGAGAGGCAGGGCTGGAGGGAGGAGGTGGGTCAACGGAGAGCTGACCCTGAGGGCATGATTATCTCCTGCAAGAGGCAACCTATGCTATTATTAGTGGACTGGTTGCATAACGCTCCCTTACTTTCATTTTTTTCTTTGTTTTTAAATGGAGCTGTACTTATATACTTTCTAATTAGCAGCGAAACTCTTCATTTGAAAGCCTGGATGAACTTTTCAAAGTTCAAGATGTTTCCAACCTGCTGCCTCATGTCAGCTGTATATGTGCTCATGGCTCACTCAACCATCCCATTCACTCCATACCGCACAGCTAAACTGGGCTTCAAGGCTGATTTAAACCAGGAGCTCCACGGATAGATTTACACTTGCAGATGATAAATGAATGCACTTGTCATCTTCTCTTTAAAAAAAAAAATCTGTTTGTGGGTTCATTCAGAACCTACCTCTTTTTTTTATTCAGTTCCATCTAAGCAGAGATCATAAGGAGAAATTTACCTCCCAGAGCAAAAACACCATAAAGATCTGAGATATGAATCCTACCAAAATATGGAAATGTAATTTCAAATGTAACACTCTTTGACTGCAGAACACAAACACAGAGCAGAAATATTCCCACAGACCCAAAGCGGATGGATCGTCCGCAGCACCCGCGGATCATCCGAAACTTCCCGATCCATGTCCCACCCTTCATAAATCCACCCCACAGTCAAACTTTACCAGCTAAAAAGAAAATTACCCGAATAAACTCACCTTCTTTGTTCAATTCATTCATTCAGATCGTTTCCACGGATCCAGTAAAAGCGCGCAGAGATCCTGTTTGCGTCGGACGGTCAGCGTGGCGCTGCGCTCTGCTGCTGCTGGGAGTACTGACTGAGCTGCTGCTGCTGCTGCAGCTGGAAACACACACACACACACACACACACACACACACACACACACACACACACACA